AAAACGATCAAGTCAGTTTAAGTGAGAAACACTGAAGTGAAAAGGTTTATTCCTAATAATAAAACTAGATATTAAATTATTGTCTAATCCATTTGAACGTATTTAAGATGTATGTAAAATAATTTGAATTTTACGCTGCTACTAATGATACGAATACTACCACTGCTATCTGTAATGGTGTCAGCCAAGTGCTATATCAGTTTTTTTACAAATCTATTGATTGTCTTTTTTCGTGACTCCGTTTCGCTATCAGTGGAAACAAATCCTAGCACATGTACTCTTTACGCTCATGTTAATACCTAATCACGAACAATATTGATATTTTAATATTATGGAATTAAATGTACACGGACTCGATATGCAGCAGAACTGATACATAATACTTACACAATAATCCTCATTTTGATTGATGAGGAAAGTCAAGTACTCAGAAAAAAACTTAATATCTGATAAATGTGAATTTGTAGTAGAACAGCTCTGCATTTATAGACATAGCGAAAAACATAAGCATGGAACACAACAAAACTAGCGAAGTAAAGGTGAAGCAACTAGTGAAGGGGATATGTGAATAAGGAATCAATCATTTCGATTATCTCTAAACTGATGAACTAACATTTATGAATAGTTAATGTAAAGTTATTGCAATAAAATAAGCAAATATCAGCACTAAGTCGTCACATTAGTTTCTGATAAAGGTTATCACTTATTATATACATAGAATAGTTGGTAAATGACAAGGAGATCTCCTCTTCTTTTCGATGTTAAGTCTAATTGGTTAAAGAACAATTTCAAGGTCAGACCTTGAACTTCAAGCCAATCAAATCCTACGTAGTAATCAAATAACTTGTCATTTTGGTACTTCAATATGTAAAACCGATGAATCAGATTACGTAAATGAAAACACAAAGAAGATAGCCGAAGAGTTACTTGACATTCAAAACAAACCAAAATGGTATCTGAATATGATTTATTTACACTGATTGACAACCAGGTATTGTAATAACTGAACTAAGTGGTACTTGGAAGTAATTAATTAATAACTTATTGTGTGGATACATATTTATTACTCGTATTCCAACTTATAAAATGCTTTCCTATTATTACTTACTTATTAACGCTTGTTACTTCTCACGGAGGAGAGTGGACCTCCCATCAGCATTCTCCATCCAACTCTGTCCTGGACATTCCTTTCCAGTTGTTATCCATCCTGTTCGTGTCTGCTTCCGTTTCCCGATGTAGTGTGTTCTTCGTGTGTTTGGAAGTAAAAATCCAAAGTAGAACATGTTTGATCGTATTTGCACCGTTTTTAGTATTTTTATTTTTCTGATATTTACCTCTTACATAATCTTATTGATGCTCACATATTTTCACAGCTGAAACCACTGACTGATCTAACCTAGACCATCAGTAAAAATCTGGAAGCACTAGACGGACGTTCAGTCATAGGATGTGACTCCTCAATAGTGCGTATCCATGATCCCGTGCGTAAATTTGTTTGTTTTTCTCATGCTGAACAATTTAATTATAACGAATTTAATGATTTTAAAAATATTATTCACTAAATTTCCACAAGGTCTCAAGTTTGATCCCTGTTAAAGACATGAGTGCATAACTCTCTGTTCTCCCCTGATTTCCAACGGTTCTCAAGTGATTGTAGTTCAGAATGAAAAGTTTAGACGAATTTAATTAACTAATCTATCTACTTTCTTTTAACTGGAATGATAGTTCTACATTAAGGACATTATACAATTACATTACACTTAACTAAATTCTTGGCATAGTAAACTAAGGGCAAACCCAAAACACTCATTGAAATCCAATTTATTCACTAAATTCGATTACATTTGGGTACTTTATTTATTAATAAGTAAATTTTAGCACTTAAGTTAGGTGATAAAAATGTTAAGCAATTAGTCCATTTTATAAATTTCGATAGAGTAATGAAAAGACGGAGTCGATCTGAAAACATTTTTTTTCCAGATCAACAATGTCTTCTCATTGCTCTATCGAAAGATGAAAATCTAATTTAATTAAATACTACAAGTAGTGAACTGAACAAAGAAGTAAAATATAATGAGATAACTCATTTTGAATTATTCGTAAATGACTTAATTCCTCTTGGAATAATTCGGCTATCCACTCAAAACATTTACTACAAAATCGTAAGGACAGATTCATTTCTGTATCCTTTGATGATGTATAAGTTAATAATCTATCACATAAACATTATGAATATATGTTTTTCGTATATAAAAGATTCATTACACTCAGCAATTTAGATTTTTATCGTGTTCATGAAAGTTTAGCGACAAACCTAGTTATTTAATAGGTTAATTTATCAATGAATCGAACGAAGTAAAACAGAAGTCACTAATTATTAGTATAGGGTTGTGGTGATTGTCGAGTTTCACAAAACTCTTGAACCGATCAACGTTAGATTACCCTTCGAAACCGGGATAACCGTTTCAACACTGAATGGGACTCCTCAACAGTGCGCATTCACAACTCTGCACGCGGATATTGGACACAGGACCTTTAGTCTTGCGCGTCAACGCCTAATTTCTGGACCACTGGCGCAGTATCTGATGATCTAATGTTTAATTTCAGTCAACCCGCGATATTTTGTGACCGTCTTTCATTTTCTTCGGAGGGTAACTAACTCGTGTTCAACACGTTCGAAATTTGAGAAGACTTTGCTATGACCAAACGGCTATCAAAGTCTTTAGTGGTGATCTAACATTAATTGGTTCATGATTTCAGTAAGATGTCAACAATGTTATGTGGTTAAATATGGCCTGAAAAGAAACCGGTTTAACCTGATCTCGTTATAGTTGACACTTATCATCAATACGTACCAGGGCTATTTAAACCTAGCCTCAATGTCTAAGACATTGCCAGTGGTCCGTTCAGCTCACGATAAATCACAAGCGGGAGTGGGATATTTCCACTGACTAGTCACTACTTGGTGATCAGTTACTATTCATACAACGAAAGAGACCTATTTTTTCATAGGAGAAGAAAGAAGGCAATTCAGCAAAGAAAATTATATAGATCTCTAACAGAATGATAAATTTATACTCATGAAGGGTTATAGAATATGAAGAAATACAAGAAGAAACAGAAATGTCAATTTTTGAATTCGGCACATGTCGCAAATTAGGAAAATATATACCAACACACTGTTACAATGTTTAAAACAATATGAAAGAAGAGTTGTAACATTCCATGTAGATCAATAATTCGACTTGTCTCTAAACACTAACAAATCACTTAATTCACTTGATATCGTTTTACTTGGATCTTCCTATCGATGTTTAGGACTGCAATTGATCCGTTTCTTATTAGCTTATGTGCATACTGTGCATATTGCCTCGATATTGTCTTAATTCACAAGCATTCTAAGCAACGATGGATAGTGGCTAGCAATGGAATCTAGAACATGCGTTTCATCAGCTAGATGTACCTGTATCTCAGAGTTGATGTTCACTCTGGATCTCAAATAGGATGAAAAGCGTATCATGGAATCCATTACTAGCTACTATCCATCTATGTTTACCAAAAAAATCATATTTCAATATTTCTTTGAGAAGTAATACAACAAGACACCTTAAAACATTGAGTATTCTATAAAGAACATTGAATTTTATTGAATATTCTTATTAAAACATTATTTGAAGGGGTTTTGCGGATATTATACTAATTTTAATAGTTGAGGTTATCAGTCAATTGAAGCTAGACCACCAGGTAAAACCTGAAAGCACTGGACAGTTATTTCCTCTTACTGTGGGACGCCTCAACAGTGCTGATCCACGATCCCATCACGTAATATTCGAACCCGGGATTTATCACTCTCTCACGCGAATGCTTTAACTCTAGACCACTGAACCAGCATCCAATAGTGCTAATGTCTACCTTAAACTAATCCACGAAATTGATCGACATATCCATCATTGTTTTCAGTGAGTTACTATCTCACAACAAATCCAGATTTATCAGTTTAGGGGTTGTGGAGATTGTTAAGTTTTCGACTGAAATCATGAGTCCATTGAAGCTAGATCACCATGGAAAACCTGAAAGCACTGGACAGTAATTTTATCCTAGTATATGGGACTCCTCAACAGTGCGTATCCATGATCCCACACCATGCGTGATTCAAATCCAAGACCTATCAGTCCAGATTTTCCAATAATGATCTAACATCATCAATCGGTTCATGATCTCAATCAAAAACATTTAATCTATTCTAAAAATTAGCATTTTATATCATAACTTAACTATAGAATTCATATTTCATTTAATCAATTCGTTTATTGAAATGATATTTCAAATATGGAGTTCATTTTTTAAAAAAAAAAACAAAAAAAAAAGAATCAATCAATCAATTTTTTTATCGAATATGAATTACATTTCAAATCTAATATTTAATGTTATCATATTCTTTTTGTAGTTTTATTTTAAATCATTTAAATTTTAAATTGCCGCTATGATCTATAAATAATTATCTGAATGAATCAATTTACCTAATGATTAGTCATTAATTACTGATTTGTACTCATGTATATTGATGTATATGTATGTATGTATATTGTATGTAAGTATGTGTTCATGTATGTGTGTGTGTATGTGTGTGTGTAGACATAAGTGTGTATGTATATTGTATGTATGTATGTATGTAAGTATGTAGGTAGGTAGGTAAGTAGGTAAGTATGTATGTATGTATGTAGGTATGTATGTATGTATGTATATAGGTATGTATGTATGTATGTATGTATGTATGTATGTATGTATGTATGTATGTAGGTAGGTAGGTAGGTAGGTAGGTAGGTAGGTAGGTAGGCATGTGTTAATATAAACTCAGTTTAAAAAAAGATTATAACCGTTATCATCAATATCAATTTGATCTCAGTTCAATTAAATATTGTACATTTAATTTTGAACCAATAAACTTTTAAGATAATAGTAAATATCTTCTTTAAATAAAGAAAGAGAAACTAACTAGACCATTCATTACATCATTATAATAGATTGACAATGGAAATTTAATAATAGATTAGTAAATTATCTATAATATTCAAATCTAACATGAAACTAATATTTTTCATATCTCTTATATTAATCAATTCCATATGGATCTATTCAGGTATGAAAGTATTCAATAGAATTTAGTTGTTGTTGTTGTTGTTCTGGTTGATGTATAAATGCTTCATATCAGTTCAATGTTTTAATAATTGTGTAAATAAATAGATTTGTGATTTTCATGTGAAATCTGATTTAAAATTTTGTTTGAATTATTCAACTTCTGAATAAAATTGACAAGATGAATTGAAATTTAACTATTTCTTTTTCAAATGTGACTTTATTATTGTATTGTTGATAAAAAATTGCTCTCAACAATAGGAGCTATCAAATTGATCACTGGTTTTGAAGTCTTTTTTTTAGAAAACAACATATTGAAATCATGAATCAATTGAAGCTAGACCACCATGGAAAACCTGGAAGTACTGGACGGCCGTTTTGTCCTAGTATGGGACTACTCAGCAGTACGCATCAATGATCTCGCACCCCGCCGGCTCAGTGGTCTAGTTGGTTAAGCGCTTGGGGCGAGACTGATAGGTCCTGGGTTCGAATCTCGCGGGGGGCGGGATCGTGGATGCGTATTGCTGAGGAGTCCCATACTAGGACGAAACGGCCGTCCAGTGCTTCCAGGTTTTCCATGATGGTCTAACTTCAACTGACTCATGATTTCAATCTGTAAAATTTCTAAAATCACAAACCCCTTCTGATGAAAAAAACATATGTTTACGATCTTTTAAAACGTTTGATACATGTACAACACTGAAATTCAGGATATGAATTTCATCCTCTGTGGAACTAATCAATTGGATACTTAATTATCCTAATATTGATGACTAAATTAAGAATGGAACTTTGTAGTTATCATTCTGAACCTGAATTCCAACCCTTACTAATAACTTTGTGAATTTTGAACAGGTTGATAACTGTGTGGACTAAACATATTATTGGATAATGTGTGGATGTCTGATGTGATAATGAACAGATTACAGTTTTAACCGGAAATTTAACATTGGTTAGGAAGAACACCCAGACGCCAGGTTCGGGCTACGATGAAATGTGCGCGCTGGACTCCAATAGCAACCAAAACACAAGTATAATAAAATTTGTAACTGAAAGATTGTGTCAAGATAGTTCATTCAAGATCCACCACATATCGGCAGAGACCTATTAACTGCAATTCTGAATACCGGCAACAAAAATTACAAAATCTTTCAGATCTGTCTACTATTTTCTAGAGACTTGAAGCTGTAAATAGTTACATATAAGTATCAAAATAATGCTATTACTTTCAATCTCTTTCTTTCTTCATTACTTGTCCAAAATATATGAAGAAAAGTAAACTACCTGACCAGTGATATCATTTAAATCCAATGTCAGCAGGGTTGTTCCATTGGATTTAGCAATTAATTGATGGCTTAACCTCACCTCTGCAGTACCTCTAAAGATATTGATCGTCTGAGCGGAACATTTTATTCCCATTATATCCCAGTACAGGCATTAAACAGTAAAGCATGCCGTCGAACTATGAGTTTGTACCTTGGAGTTCTCTAACCGATGTGGTTAGCATAGTGGAATGCAAAGTAATGAATGCTTGAGGCAATATAGCTTGACTGGGTTATCACAAAATACAACCCTAAACAATGAGCCAACATAACTGCTAGAGTATTAAGAACTATGATAGAAAACCTGTATAATGTTTTCTGGTTTTCGTTTGATTTCTCAGCTGATATCAGATCAAAAAGAAAACTACGTCTGGAAGGTGACAAAAACTAAACAGACATTCTTGTTAATATTTCATTTGATCCTAACATAAACTATAAAACTTAAATACTTAAATAAAAGTTGCTATACATTGATAAAATTGTTAAAATTACAGCTGTGCAAAAGATGAATTTAATTAATTTCAGAATTATAAGGATAAATATATGCCTAATCATTTGATTGAATTTAGACATGTACATCACTAAATACCGGCTCAGTGTTCTAGAGGTTAGGAGTTTGTGCATAGAACCTAGGGTCATGAGTTCGACCCTCAGTGGCGGGGTAGTGAATGGTCACCCCTGAGGAATTCCATACTAAGGCGAAATAGATGTCCAGTGTTTTCTGGTTATCAATGATAGTCTAAATAAGAACAGTTCGTGATTTGAACCGTGAAAATTCTACAATTTCATTAAAACACTAAACTGATAATTTTTTCCTTAAGAGTTTAAATAATTATTCTATTTGTTCTGTTCGATGATTAAGTATAATCCTTAAAGTAATTAGTAACTATAGCTAACACTTTTCAAATAATTTTAAAAATACTACTTAATTTAAGTATGTACATTTTTTTAAATGCCTGATTATGAAAGTTGAATGTTGAGATATTATGATGGTTCAAAGTAATAAGCACGATTCCTGTCTAATTAACGTTCATTACTATCATCCAATGCCATGATCAGAGACCTAGAATTCATTCTGTACAGAGTTCCAATCTTCTAAAGAACTGACCACTTGATGATATTACTACACTGGATAATCCATGTAGAAATATTTAATTAAGAATCTGTTCTATAAATATTCCCTACACTCCTTACTGGTCAATGTGTACCAGCATATGATGCTGATCTGGGGCTTCTATCTGGTTACTATCAAATAGAGTGCAATATATGCCATACTGACCAAATTGAAACCTTGATCTTTAGATTCTAATCAACACTAAACTCTAGATAATATGGTTTGGCATTTTGTTTACCAGCCAATTAATGGATTTTACAAATGATAAATAACTATATTCAAGTTAGTATTTTTCAACATGAATTTGACTGTAATTTCAAAATCATTTCAAATAAAGAAGCATTGACTATAAACTACTGATTTGATTGCATTTACAGTCTCCACGGCTTTAGCTAACGATTACTCACAAACGATTTCAAATGAACGACAACGTAGAGTAAGCAGTACCGTGACAATTTTTACTTAAAATGAATAAAAATATTTCAAATAATAGAAAAAGTACCATGAATAACAGAGTTGACCAAAGCAAGAGTGAAACCGAATGTTCATATATAATATTGTTTTCCACTTTCCCTAGTCTATGAATTAATGATAAATATTTGAGAACTTAGATGCATTTCATCTCACTTGTTAAATGGTTACACACTTATCTATTATCTAGTGTTTATAATAAACCTGTGCCAAACGCATGGTTAATAATGCTAAATCTAATTATTTTAAAATATTTGTCCCTAAAATCTAATGGTTTTGGTGTTGTCATCAATTTATGAAAATCAATTTCAATGGAATAAACATAGGAACTAGATACCTAATGATTAGTTAACACTTAGTAAATACCTCAAAAGCATTCGAAATAATTGACAAACAACAAACATGAATTTTGTTCCATTTTGCAAAGATCATAGCTAACAGGTATTGTTCAATACACAATCACAGAGGGGTTTCGTAAAATGTGAAAATCACACATCAAACACATCATTTACACATTTTTTTAAAACTTATTTTTTACAAACTTTATTGTTCCTTCATTCCTGTTGTTACCTTAATTACTTTGCATATATAACCTCCGTCGACTCATTACGTTTCGCAATCACTAGCCATAATAATGGGCGATATCTATCTCATTCTAGGTATAGTTGAACTCCACTTGTCACGGCTCCTTACTGGAACTTCTGGAATTACCTTACGAAGAAACAAGAATTCATATTGCAGAGTGGTCATATACGTATTCAGAGTTACACTTAAACCTAAACGACTCAGCGTAATAATAAACTCCAAAAATAAATTCTTAAGTTATCTGTATCCGTCATCACTAGTTACTTGTTACTAAACAGCGAAATCCGACCTAAGGCCTCTTCGTGGTGCTACTGAATAGTAAGGGTAACCTTGCTAGCCAACTTAGGCGGTCGGTAGAGATTGTACTAATCACCCACTTAGTTGCTTCCTTGATTAACTCGGGTTCCAACTCGGGGCTCACTTAACCTCATCGTGCCACTCGTTGGGTATGTTTCTGTATAAGAGTTAGAGAAGTCCTCAGGCCCATGTAATTCATATATGTAGGCATATGCAAAAGGTGTGTGTGTGGTGTCGTACAATAGAGACGTTAGTTGAAATAGTGTCTGCCCTATGTCTAATAAAGTCATCGACCTAATTTATCAGGTCGATTTATTTATCTCAAACAGATATGTGCCACATAAATCAATTGATTTGTGTGAGGAATGAGATACTGCTCATGTGCCCAAATCGAAGTACGTGGTTTCATTAACGAGCCGCATCTCGAGCCTTTGACCTAAAGGTCTGATCCACAGGGCAGTGGAGCAACTTTAGGAGATGCAGTCCCATGGCAGCCGGTGACCAACAATAGGTTCATACGCAACTTCTTTCTTTAGAATCGTGGAGCCCATGTGTAGCGCTGGCTTAGAATCATGGTTTTCCGACTTCCCTTGGTGGACTCTCCGTGTTCACCAACTCGGTTAAAGCACTGGAAATTCGCTTTTGGTCCTCCTGGTTTCGTAAACAACACCCCTGGCTCGAGAAGGCGTTGAGTGGGACTTCCCTATCAATGATCGTATGCATGTGGTCATGTGAGAGCACTTCAAGAGGGAGAGCTGACTCTCCCCACTCTCGGCCGCACCAGGGCATAATATTAAGATATGATAGCAAGTACAAGGGAGAGGCGACAAACAAGCCCCCTGAGAGAATACTTGTGGTTATATGTGTGTCAGAAAGTACTGAGGCGGTATCCATGGGCTGAATGTTATGCATATAATTTGTAAGAGAAAGTCTGTTGTAGCAAATACATTTCTGAGGAAGCGGTGAACTTCTACCCTCCCATATGAGTGAATATACCTATGTTTATGCTATAGAATGCATGGGATAAAACCTGTGTGTTACCGGTGTGCATGTAACGTATATTTGCTCACATGGCAGGTATATCTGTATTTATGCTAAGGAATACTCGGATCAAAACCCGTGTGTTACCTAGTATGCATGTAGGCTATATCTATCCAGGGTAAGTAAAATCTTCAAAAATCCTTCTACCTGCTCTTCTTACGATACCAAGATACACACAAAAACCTGCGGGGCAGCGGTTCCCACGAAACGACAGCCACGCGGTAGGTTTGTGAGCCTTTAAAATACAGAATCCATTCCAGAAGTTCCTATGTAGGCCTTCCCAGAAAAAGCCTTTACCAACCAATTTGTCTGAAACACTGTACCACCACTTGTTACTAGACACATGTTTTTACAATTCTGAAACATATTCAGTTCAATAACCAGTTCATAAGTGATATAATTTTTTTTATCTAATAAACAATTCATTATCATATTCATAATATTAATACACAATATATGTACGAAAATATATCAGCTACAATGATAAAACTTTCTATTCACAATGATCTAACTTATTTATATTTTTAAAACAATGGAGATAACAATAACTGAAAACATTGAACAATAATGGTAATAATAATGATAATAATGTTAAGTAATAGAGACCAATCTATAGTCTATTATGATATTTCACTTGGTTGATAATAACATAAATGAGAAATAAACATAATGATCATTATATGTATACATAACTATTGATTACAGTTAATTAAAGGATAGGTTATAGATTGCATAATCTACGAATTACTAATTTGGTTGATGAAACTTCGAAAGAAAACGTCTCAGGAAATTTTGACTGTAAATTGAATACTTCTATGATGGTCATAAATACTAAAAATGAACTGTAAGTTCAAAGTAATTGATAATCTCTAAAGTTGATAGTGAACATGTTGAATATATGAAGTTTCATGGAGATTCCGATTACTAATCTAGACAATGTTCGGAAAGTCTTTGCCATATACAATTCTGGTCAAACGTTTATGGTCAATGGAACTGTATAAAAAAGGCCGACTGCTGAAAACTTCTAGCAACATTTCGAACAATTGGAGTGGATGGTTCGTATGTTAATTGCTCCAAGTGGAAATTAGTTAAGAAGATAAAAGTCTGACATCAACTGAACGTTCGTAAAACGACGTTGATATGGGCTCAGTTTGCATATTCATAGGACAGACTAGGTGTTATAACGATGGATTTTGTTAATTCAAATTTTTAGTTTAAAGCTAAACTAATGGATATAGCTCACAAGTTTCATTCTGCTGAACCAAAGCAGAATAACATATTAACTTCTTAGCATTTCAACTCATTAAAAGAATTACGATATAATGCTGATATTATTATAGTTAAACTTGATAAAGGATCTGGTTTCGTTACTATGAATAACTCTGATTACAAAAGTAAAATGGAATCCATTCTCAGTGGCAAAAGCAAATTTATGTCTGATGTTGACTCTGATAGATTACGTAAATTAGAAAAGAAAGTAAACTCAAATCTAATGAAATTGTTAAACATGAATGCTATTAACAAAGATGAGTTTAAATTATTAAAACTTATGAGTTCGGTGTATCTTAATTTATATGAACTACAGAAAATTCATAAGCCCAGTACCCCCTAACATCCAATTCTTTCAATGTGTCGGTCACTTATTTAATAAACATTAATATAAAAACAAAAACAATGTGATCCTTTGATGTGAACACTTTATTTACAAATGTACCTCTAAGGAAAACTAATAATATTTTATGTGACTTTATCTCATTGAATGACCTTCCGTTGCTATTTCTTGTTAAAACTCTTAAAGATTTATTATAATTATGTACTGACAATGTAAAATTCACTTTTAAGGGTGAGCACGTTCGACAAAGTCTCGGCGTAGCTGTGGGTAGCCATTTAGGACCGTTGCTGGCTGATGTGTTTATGGGATACGTTGAAAATCTAGCTGAAGACTCAATTCAAAAGATATATCTGTAAAAACGGTATGTTGACGACATCATAATCATAGCGTATAAACGTGAAGATATGAACCACTAGTTAAAAGAACTCAACACAAGTCAAAAGCATATTTCACTTACTAAATTCTTATTCTAGACATACTGATTAGTAGGAGAGATGATGGTTCCATCAAACGTTCTGTATAAAGAAAGGCAATTTCTTAATCTCCATAGTCATTACCCAATTCATCATAAGCGAGGATTAATAAAGGGATTATTCAATGGAATCAATCATATTTGCACTGGTGATACTATTGAAATAAAGAGGAAGCTCTCAACTGGAACATTGATGAATAACAGTTATTCATTAAAGTTTATAAACCGATGTAAGGGTTGCAATACGATTAGATCTATGACGCTTCTGTCACCTAAAAAGCATGTTTGCACCACGTTACCATTAAGAGGCGACCAAAATAATCCCATGTTGAAATGGAGATCTATATTAGCAATCAACAGGACATTTTATGCAGCCCAACTTGGCAGTATTGAAAAGAGAAGGTCTATGCTTCATCAAAAACCCAAACAACACGTAGGCGATTGTCACAACCCATTGTATCTATCAATTTATATGTATGTGCGGTCACATGTACATAGAGAGGGGCAATCGTGATCTGCAAATAAAGGTGGAGGAATGCATACCCGAATGGCTGCAGAAACAAATGACTTCCAATGGTCAAATAAGATCACAGGATAGACAGACATCATCCTCCATTGCGAAACATTTGGTTGAGATTGGTCGTAAGCTTGATATCAATTCAGCATTTGCAATGTAAAAAAGCTTTCAAGGGCGCATACTAAGGTTTATTGAAGCCTTGACTGTACGGAAACTGAAACCTCTTTTATGTGTTCAAAAACAGTTTGTTCATACCCTTAACCTACCCTGGTAATACTGATTTATTATCCAGAGTGGTTATCATATTGTTTTTGTGTACTTTAAGTTTTCTTTGTTGCGACTTACCTTTAATCTGTCTAGTTGACTATTTAGTTCTCATGTAAAAATGTCTTAACAAGTATATTGTTAAGTTTGTCTTACATTGTTCCTACTCTCTCCCTTTCCACTCCTTTGTATATTGTTTTATACTACTTATTTAGATTGAGTAAGCAAATGTATTCCCAACAATTTTTAAGCTTGTTGTAACGGAAGTTGTACTGTAATATTCTGAAATGTTCACATACACTTATAACGTTTATTGTACTTATAATTTTATTTGTTATTATAATTACTTTATGTTAATCACTGTAGCGGTTATCCACAATTTTGTGCATTTGTTTAAACGCAACAGTTTCCATATTGTTTTGCTCTTGGTTCGGGTTTCGGCTGTTTGTAAACTCTTATCAAATTTAGACACTGCTATCAGCTGTCTTTTGTACTATCGTATGTTATAATTATTCTTTATGTCACTGTTACAGGAAGCCTTTTTATTTTCATACTTAAAGGACGCATTTAAACGCCCCAGACACTTAACAAGTTGAGGTTTGTAACTAAATTTTGTGTATTATTCAATAAAGAACCGCTATTGTAGACAAATCGTTGTTTTGGAAACTTCGGTTTTGCACGTATCTCAATCGGGTGACTTGGACGCTTCGATAGATTTAACATATATGCGTAATCAGATTGTTCGAAATGTATTGAGCAAATATATTACATAATACTGATAACCTTCATCTTCTCATTGCATTATCATAATTGATCAAATGGACTAATGGTTTTCAATACATGATATTATATTATTCATATATAATAAAATCAGTAGTCATTTACAGATATACTATGAATTTATCAAGAACAATTAATCTTACGTAATAGCATTTTTTTAATTACTTTCATAATTTCCTTTCATTTCCTAGTTGAATCCATCAAATGTTATACATGTGATCAGTGTTCACTTCCTTTAGAAATAGAACATTTAGAAGTAGCGGATGGTTGTAAATTTTGTAAAGTAAGTTTAAGAGAAAGACAAAAAAATACACCAAACAAAAGGTAGTAATTTATTGAATCCATTACTTCTTATTATAATAATGAATTTTCAATGGTCTTGTTTTATTATGTTAATAGATAATAAATCAAATGGAAATTTATTATCAGAAAGGATTTGTGGAGATTTTGGTTGAAGTTAGACATTAACACCGTTGGATGCCGGCTCAGTGGTCTAGTGGTTAAGTGCCCACGCGCGGGACCAGTAGGTTCTGGTCTCGAATCTCGCTGGGTGCAGGATCCTGGATGCGCACTGATGAGGAGTCCCATACTAGGACGAAGCGGTCTTCCAGTGCTTTCAGATTTTCCATGGTGGTCTAGTTTCAATTGAATCATGATTTCATTCTGTGAAATCTATTATTTAACTTTATTGAAACGGTAAAAAAAACTGAATGTACTTGAATTGTAAGAAATTTAAATGTATTTTTTTGTGTGTGTGGATTAAAATCATTTGCTCAAATGAAATGAATACTTATGATAAAAAAAAGAAAGATAACATGCTTCCTATGTCTAAAGCCGAAATACACTAATCCGATCACATAAAGTAAAAAAGAAAAGATAACCGTTTAATTGAAATGTTCTTAAATAGTCTATTTGCCTTTGATTCGTATGAAGATGTTTTAGAAATATTTCTTGTATCTGCTGAGATCACCAGATAAGTAATAGTGAGGTTAGACTCACGTTATTGGGAAGCGATGGTAAATCAGTTGACGAGGTTGTGAATATTCATCGACTGAGATGGTTGGTCCACGTGTTACGTATGCCTGAACATCGATTACCACAATGCGCAATGGTGACTAGTGTTGGAGACGGCTGGAAGAGAGTTAGGGGCGACCAGACCAAAATGTGGCATCAGTCCTTAAAGACACTAGCTCCAAGTCTTAGCCATGTTGGGAGATGCAGACTACTTGGTTAGGGTCCGCGTGACTATCGTAACCAATTGTTGGAGACTCTGTGTAACATGGCTCAGGACCGATCACAATGGCGTAGGTGTATACACTATTTATCTTCTCCTAAACCGTGAGATTAGAATTCCTTCATACCTTCCTTTTTACGAACTAATTCTTTCTTCCTGTACTATATCTTTATACACAATTTTTCTTTTACATTTTACTACCATTGAAGTAACTACTTCTATAAATTTGGTGCTCATCTTGTTGTGCTAATGAAGTATGACAACTTGGACCAATGCATATATGTGCCTGGTCCTACGTTGTAGCTGACTGATTGATTGACTGGTTTAAGGATTTAAAAATGAAATGTAAAAGTGATACAGGACGTCTGCTATTTAAACCATGTAGATGTTTACTGAAGGTTTAAATGGATGGATTAGAAAAACCTTTATTAAAAACTAGTGGTTTACATGAATTCACGGATCCTAAGAAAAATAGGTATCTGAATTAAAATTTAGGTAGAACAACATCCAGGCTCGGAACAAGTAATTTATACAAAAATCTTTCTTGAATCAAAGTAAACATCCATGATGGTACATATATTTATATCCTGAAATTTTATAATGAAAGTAAACGATTTCATTCACATTAGTTAATATTATACATATTTCATGAATGCAAACTTGATTGATGAGTTTAGACATATTTTTAATACAGTTTTGTATTACAGCAACTTGAGGAATTAGACATTCATATTCGAAGTCTAATGTAGCGTAACCTAATGACATTGATAGCTAGCTTCCATTAAATTTTACGTCGGTATTTGGTATACATTGAGGGAATTGCTGTTAAAGAAATATAAAATACTGATATTAGGGATATAACATGTTGTTTGAGTGTAGAATACAACAAGAGTTCCCACGGTGTGCTACCAAAATGATATGAATGTTTGACCCTGCATTTTAAAATCGATAAGGTCATTGAAACTAACACATTCAGCATTTAAAAAATTAGACAAACAATAAACAATTTATATTTAACCATTACTTGTCAGTGAACTAAGAATTTTATTAAATTCTAAAACTTTGTTCTGTTTTATTTTCTGTACAAAAAAAATTACGAAAATCTTTATAGACCATAGAACATTCACGTTATTTCTTAGGAGGTATAGCAACAAGACAATGTGTACAACATTGTAAACCATTATCAAATTGGCTTTATTGGAGTTATAAATCAGTACAATTTACAGTAAATTGTTGTAATCAAGATTTGTGTAATACATCTAATTTTAAATCAATTAATATGTATCTACTTTTAATTTGTCCTTTATTATGGCAATATTTTATTGATTTTCTTTAAACTTTGGCGCTTTTATCGCTTATATACCCTGAAATACTTGACGTCATGGTAATAATTTCAAAATTTTATAGTAATTTTTCCCATATATGTTATTGATACTGGTATGTTTTTTTAGAAAACATTTTTATACTACTCATTAGTAAACAGATTAAATATTCGCAATATTGTTCCGTTTTTCACGTTTGATTGTCGTTGATTCAATTTTTTTAAAAATGTTAGCAGATATAGCACTATGACAGTTGAGTTGTCAAAAAGTAAAACAACTTATCAATTACCTTTTATTTATTATCTCTAAATGTTTACATCAAGATTGAATTTTATTCGCAGCCACTTATCAAATAGTTTAAAATGATATTAAATGTCTTGAAGTTCCATACATTTTATCTTGATATTATGTGGTTGAAGTTAATCAGTAGGTATGTATTATTGATCCAAGCTTCGTATTAGTTAGCATTCATCAATCCTTAGGGAATTTCGACCTCCTGTGCGATTTCAACCCACGTTATTGAATATTACCGTAGGAGATATTACCACTAGGCTATTCAGATAACGATTGACCTCCTTTAGGATTGAGATATTTGCACTGATTTCTTAGGGTATCAATAGGAATCGATCAACAAGTAATTTGTCACTGATTTTGTATTTAATAAAAGTTCATTTGAAGTATATTAGGAATCAGTGAGAAATATGTTCGATGATACATGATTCATTTGTAAATTTATTGCATTATTCTTTATTTAATATAACAAAATCATTATGTAAGCATGAAAGGAAGTCAGACAAAAGAAAATGTTTCATTGATATGCAGAGCATAGCTAATATGTAAATAGGTAATGATGAAAGTAACAATAAAATGGGAATAAACTGGTAATTATCTTTACTTTCATATCCTTTTTAGATCTTTTATTTACTCACTAGATAAACTACGCTACATTTTAACATAAATAGCAATACAACTAATCATATTGTCGTTGGTTAACTGAACAACTTTGTTCATTAGAGAAAGCCATAGAATTTGGTAATATACCACGGGAGAGTTGATGAGATAAATATTAGTTTACCCATTTTAACGGTATCACTGATAAATATGTCTATGAATTTCGATAGGGTATAACTAGAAACTGAGTAAAAATATACTTCAGCTATAAACCAATCAGAACCAACAATGTGTTTCCCTAATTTTTGCGAGAAATCGAATGGTCTAAATTGTTTTTTTACTGGTTAGTATTTTTTATCATGGTTGTTTCCTACGGGATGGGATTGCAGATTGTATACCCAACCCTGCTAATTTACTTGGGCTTGTGGTAAGCCCTAACCCCAGAAGGGGTGCAGGTGGAAGAAAGGGAAGGAGGAAGACCAAGGAACACACTGTGTAGAGAAGTGGAGGCAGACATGATAGGAATGAATAGCAACTGGAAAGGATTTCTCAGGATTGATTTTGGTGGAAAATCTAGGTGGGTTGCCTATGTTCCTTGAAGAGTAAAAGAAACCGAATAATTGAGACGAGGAGTGATATTACCTTTGTATACTGCTCAAAACAGTCGAAATGAGAGCGGAAAATTATATTTTACTGCCGTAGAGTGACAGTGATCGTGTTAAGCGTTTCAAATACTTAATTGTATCTGTATTTTTTGTATAACAGGTAGATTGACTCTATCTCTAACACTATGCTTTTAATCCTGAAAAATGTTCTGACTTGGTTGAACTACCTCACCAGAATACCCCTTATACTTTTGTGTAAAATCTATTCATCCATATGACTATGCAGCAACTTATATTACAACCGATGCCAGTTTGTGAATAAACACGCCAACCCTAAACCTTTACTCTAACTAGGGACAATGTAGGGATACAAAAATCTGTTTGGAACCTTATAAGAATTCGGAAAGATGAAAAAACTATGTCCATTAGGACGATTTTGTCGTTGACCCTTCGACTTAAAGGCATGGTAACCAAAACAATACCAAAAGATCCATTAATTACATAACGTTGGTGACAACATTGTTTAAATTTCCACAAGCTTTTCATTCATAAAAACTGTCTTCTGATTGGCTAATAACAGGCGAGAAACTCATTAAAGTTGTTTTTGATGGAGTTTTGTTCTCTGAGATGGAAGGTTTGGTCGTGGAGCTTTCATCGTTCTTCCGAACGACATCATCAGCACAAACTTCAGATAGAAGTGAAGTGTTCGGATTTCTCCATGTGTTTGACAGCTCGTTCTGTACACCTCGATGTTGATTGGTTCTTATTGACCTTAAATTTATCATTGTTTACTTCTTTGTTTTGGTTGTCTCCCATTGGTTTGATTTTTGTTCTTACATTTGTGCATGATTTTCCTGATTGGTTGATACATTGGATTGATTTCAATGTGTTTGTTGATTGCTGGTTGACCTGAGTGCCAGGCTTCTAAAAATTCTCTGGTGTTTTTGAAGTTTCCTCTGTCTAAGATTTCCACATTTTTCCAATCGAATGAGTGTCCGCAGTTGTCCACGTGTATTGATATAAGTGAGGAAGTATCATGGCGTTTGGCTGCTAATTGTTCATGTAGGCGAAGTTGGAAGGGACATCCGTTTTGTCCGATGTAGTGTTATTCGTAGTTGGCACAATTTATTTTGTAGATGATGTTTGATTTGTCTTCCTTTGTTATTTCATCCTTTGGTTTGCATAGGATTGATTGTCGTGATTTTGTCGGTTTGTTGTTGTTGTTCCCTAATGTATACTTACACAGAAAACTGAGGACTATATTTCAAAACTTGGCTCAGAACCGAGGTAATGAAATTAATTGGCATGGGGAAACTAGGTACCATTGATTTAGATTATTTTCAAGCTAAGATGTACATATGTTTCGTGCACTGTATCAATCGCTTATAAGTCCAATTCAAAGCGTAATGAATTATTACGAAACTAAGTAGCGAATAAAAAGTCATCTATTTTGTTACGTCAAGCCTTTTTTCAATAAATGATCGAAATAGAATAGTAATATTAGGTTTTATGTGAACATGAGTCGGTTGAAATCGTTATTTCAAAATTTAAAATCTACTTGGTTCGGCTGAAGAATAGGAACTTTTCTGTGTGTTATTTTTTCAGGAAACATATACAACTACGTATACCGTACATTTTATACAATCGAACTCTGAATTAATTTTCAAAAAAACTGCCAGAATCCCTTGGTTGCATTGCTATTTAATGACAAGCAATTTAAAAGTTCGTATATCTAGAGAATAATATATGTGGGTAAAAAAAAGACATTTTTTTCAAACAAAATCACTCTTTGTACCGCAGTTGTAGTAATTGGCTTCATTTCCTTAATGAGATTTATCTTTTTGCAAAATCAAAATTTGTCATTATTTTTCTTTCATAATAAGAAAAATTTCATCTTTTAATATGAACAAATAGATAATATGAGAAGGGGTTTTGTGGAGATTGTAGTAATTTCAACAGTTGAGATCACGAGTCAATTGAAGCTAGATCACCGTGGAAAACCTCAAAGCACTGGACGGTCGTTTCGTCTTATTGTGAGACTCCTCGGCAGTGCGCATCCACGACCCCACATCGCGGGATCCGAGCCCAGGATCTATCAGTCTCGCGCCAGACATTAACATCGGTGGATGCCGGCTCAATAGTCTAGAGGTTCAGCGTTCATGCGCGAGACTGAAGGCCCTGGATTTGAATCCAGCGAGTGGGATCGTGGATCCGCACTCCTGAGGAGTCTCACAATAAGATGAAACGGCGATCCAGTGCTTCCAGGTTTACAATGGTGGTCAAACACCAATCGGTTTATGATCTCAATCAAAGAAAAAAAGTAACCATCCTCTGGATTCGTATATATGATGAAGATAAAAATTAAAGAACATATATATACGGCATAATGAATTTATTTTTTAATTATTAGGTGGAAATATAAAACTAACGTACAAGAAAGACAACAAATATACATTTTTTTCAGTATACAAATATAATGCTCAACTCATTATGATTTACACATGATTTCAATGATATAGGATAGAATTCCCTTGACAACAGAACAACAACAAAAAAGCACAAACACATACAAATGATTATAATTCTTCTATCAATATACATGAAATTTATATATTAGACTACAATGGATAGGATTGACGATTATTTTAAGGGGAAAATGATTTACTACTATCTTTCTTGTTGTATCCCTGTATGATGGATAAATCATACACACTATGAAATGGTGTAAATTTGTAACAAACAAAAGAAAAATAATTAAAGCAAAAAATTAAACTAAAAAATAATAAGCAATTAAACAAATGAAAATGTTCAAATAGAAAATATAACTAACTAAACATTATTAATGATTACACTCTTTGATATTAACAAGTACAGTCAAGAAGTTCAGTTGTTTTTTTTTCTCTTAGGGATGTCTTACATGGAGTGGTAGTAACAGTAGGTTAAGGTGTTAAATTTTCAATACCTAAGTCACAGGGTTTAAATCCCATTTCACTTACACTTCAATTTAAACAGTTGAGTAGTAGTATATCATTAGCTGTTACAATTATAGAGTGGCTCGAAATTCAATATACGAAATCGTATACCTGATAAATGAGTTAATCATTTACTTTCTCTCTCTTTATGTAAGCACTACTACCACTAGTACTACTACTACTACTACTACTACTACTACTACTACTACTACTACTACTACTACTACTACTACTACTACTACTACTACTACTACTACTACTACTACTACTACTACTACTACTGTTACAATACTAATACTCAGCTATTAACAATTGAACAAAAGGATTATAAACCTATGTAGATCCGTGTCATAAAACTTCTTTTTTTTAAAAAATAAAAAAAAACAACGAAATGAAGAGTAAAATGCTTTGGCACCAAGGTGAGTTAGAAATTCAACTGTGAATAAACATACAAGACAGTGTAGTGACAAAGTGACAAAACAATAAAATTATATTCATTTAACTCATTATTATTATCTGAGAATAAAATAAAATCCAAAATAGAATTAGAAAATAATGAATGGTGTTTTAATGATTATAATTTGTAATGGTTACAAGCTTCAAATTAAAAGTGTTCATTAAACATAGTAATTCATGAATGAACATTGAAACTATCTTTGCATAACGATCATATCATTGAAAGTATATATTATTATGCATCGAAAATGTGATGTAACTTTTTTTTTATGATTCTTCAATCGAAAATCTGACCGCTAGAAATAAATTGAAGTTAACAATCCAATGAATATACTAATAAATATTCAAAATTGATGACTTTCATCATTGGTAATTGGATAATTTTGTCGAAACCAAAATTGATAAACAAACCATGCAGTAGTTTGTA